ATTTTGCAATAATCTAATTGTAACATGTATTTGTTACATATTTTGATGCTTTAGAAAACATTTATGTCTGAATTTTGGGGGGGCTTGGAACGGATTAGGGCATTTACATGGAAAACGCATCTCTACTTACAAAGTTTTCTAGCTAAGAAATTTCTTCCAGAACCAATTAATTTCGTAAGTAGAGGTACCACTGTATTTGGTTCGGGGAAAGCTCTTGCCTTGTCCGTTCCAGCTTGGCTGTGCCCTACCTGCTACAACGTTATCAAACTCGAACAGCATCCAAGAATAAACAACAACTACCAGTATTCACATGATGAAATAACACCAGTGGATAAACATACATTGCTTGCGAAAGTATTCCCCATCCTGAACTTTTGAACCCTTTCAGGGACAGCGGTTACTACAGTGGACAGCTTCTCATGTGATCAGGTTACAGGGTGCATGAAAAGGTTAACCTTTCGCTACATTTCAGGACTGAAATGCGAAGCTATAAAATGTGATTTTTTTGAAGAAGAAGAATCAACACCAAGTTGAACAAAATTGTGAAGTGGAACAAAGTTCTTACAAAACTTTTTATTAGAAATAAAATCAAAAATCATTCGGCTCAGGGTAAATACTTTGTAGAAAAATATTTTGCTGCAATTAGAGGTACAAGTCTTTCTGGGTATGTCTCTATCAGTTTTGCACATCAGAAGACTGAAATTTTTGCCATTCTTCCTTGCAAAACAGTTTCGCTCCAGCTCAGATTGTTTCGATGGAGAGTGTTGGTGAAGAGCAGTTTTGAGATCTTTCCACAAATTCTCAATTGAATTCAGGTCTGAACTTTGACTTGGCCATTTCTTATACGTGGATATGTTTAGTTTTGAACCATTCCATCGTAGATTTTGCTTTAGGTCTTTAGCTCTTTTGCAGACTCCAACAGGTTATCTTCCGAAATTGCCCTGTATTTGGCTCCATCCATCTTCTCATCAACTCTTGCTATCTTCCCTGTTCCTGCTGAGAAAAAAAAAAACAGCCCCCGACCAAGTTGCTGCCACCACC